AAATATTAATGCCCCCAACTATATAAAACAAATATTAAGTAACATGAAAAACCAAATAAGCACTAAAGAATTGTAGTGGGGGATCTAAATACCCCACTATCACAAATAGATCATCTAGGCAGAAAATCAACAACAAAATACTAGAACTGAACCAAGGTTTTGAACACATGGACTTATTAGACGTCTATAGAGTGTTCCACCCCCACAAAATCAGAATATACATTCTTTTCTGCTGCACGTGGGTCATTCTCCAAGATAGATCACATACTAGCTCACAGAACAGGTCTGAATAAATGCAAAAGAATGAAAGTTATCCCCTGTATATTATCAGATCATAGTGCAATCAAGCTGGAGATCAATAGCTTAAGAAACCGTAGAAACTTCACAAACACATGGAAATTGAACAACACTCTCCTGAACAATCAATGGATCACAGAGGAAATTAAAGAAGAAATTAGACAGTTTACACAAATAAATGAAAATGCAAAAACAACATACAGGAATTTGTGGGATACAATGAAAGCAGTTCTATGTGGAAAATTCATAGCACTGAATGCCCACATTAGGAAAACAGAGCAAGCTCAAATAACCTAATGATGAATCTTACACTACTAGAAAAGCATGAGCTAAACAACCTAATGATGAATCTTAGACGACTAGAAAAACAAGAGCAAGAAAAACCCAAAGTTTGAACAAGAGAGGAAATTATAATGATTAGAACAAAAATCAATGCAATGGAAACTTAAAAAACAATACAAAAAATAAATGAATCAAAGAGTTCATCTTTTGAAAGAATAGATAAAATGGATAAACTCTTAGCTCACCTATGTTTACAGCAGCACAGTTGTAATAGCTAAAACTTGGAAACAGCCCATTTGCCCATCAGTTGGAAACTGGATAAAGAAGATGTGGTTTTTCTATAAAATGGAATACTACTCAGCCATAAAGAATGAGAAAGTAGATTCATTCATAGGAAAATGGATACATATTGAGGATATACTCCTAAGTGAAATAAATAAGTCACACATGTGCAAATACTGAATAGTTTCTCTGGTGTGAAAAACTATAATAGTACATAAAATCCTAATGTGATAATTGACAATGTGAAATAGAAAGAAAAGGGCTAAAGGTTTAGGGAAAGTGGGAAGGGTAGGGGAAAGGTAATAAGGGAAAAGAAAAACAATACAAGAAAATGGAAAAATGGAAATAAAGTGTTTATAAATGAGGAGGGGAGGAGGGGGTGAAGGGAGGGCAAAAACAAGGGGAAAAAATGAGAACCAAGACCTGTCATGTAAAAATACAAGATCCCAATAATGAATGTAACTGTACTATATACCTAAAATGTACCAATAAACTAAAAGGGGGGGGGAAGAAATCCAGAGGATCATTAATACCTACTTTGAGAACCTGTACTCTAATAAAATGGAAAACACAGAAGAAATGGACAGATTTTTAAATACTTATGAATTACCAAAATTGAACAAAGAAGATAAAAACATTTTAAACACCTGATTACAATCAGTGAAATTGAAACATAATTAAAAATTTACCAACAAAGAAAAGCCCAGGTCCTGATGGATTCACTGCTGAATTTTACAAGACATTTAGAGAAGAACTACTGCCTTTACTCTTCAATCTTTTCAATGAAACTGAAGGGAAGCAATACTTCCAAATTCATTCCTGGAAGCAAGTATCACTTTGATTCCCAAACCAGGGAAAGACACAACTAAAAAAGAGAACTACAGGTCAATCTCTTTAATGAATATAGATGCAAAAATCCTTAATAAGATACTAGCAAACAGAATACAGAGGATCATCAAGAAGATCATACATCCTGATCAAGTCAGATTTATTCCAGGGATGCAAGGATGGTTCAACATATGTAAGTCAATAAATGTAATACACTGTATTAACAAAGTCAAGGACAAAAACCATATGATCCTCTCAATAGGTGCAGAAAATGCATTTGATAAAATTCAACACCCATTCATGATAAAAACCCTGCAAAAAATTGGAATAGATGGTCTGTATTCAACTTAATACAGGCTATCTATGAAAAACCAACAGCCAACACCATATTAAATGGCCAAAAACTGAAAACTTTCACATTAAGATCAGTAACAAGACATGGATGCCCAGTATCACCACTCCTGTTAAATATAGTTCTGGAAACATTAGCCATAGCAATTAGACAAGAGAAAGAAATTAAAGCAATAAAGATAGGAAAGGAAGAAGTTAAACTGTCTTTATTTGCTGATGATATGATCCTGTACAATGAAGACCCAAAAAACTCTACTAAAAGACTTATAGACTTAATTGATGCTTTTAGCAGAGTAGCTGGATACAAAGTCAACACCCAAAATTGAATAGCCTTCTTGTACACAAATAACAGACTCATTGATAGAGAAATTAGGGAAACAATTCCTTTCACAATAGCATCCAAAAAAATGAGGTATCTAGGAATCAATCTAACAAAAGAAGCAAAAGACCTCTACACTGAAAACTGCAGAACTCTGAAAAAAGAGATCAAAGAGGATATAAGAAAATGGAAAGATATCCCCTGCTTCTGGGTAGGAAGAATCAACATAGTGAAAATGGCCATACTACCAAACTTCTATACAGATTCAATGCAATGCCAATTGAAATTCCAACACTATATTTCACAGAACTAGAAAAAATAATCCAAAAATTCATTTGGAACCAGAAGAGACCTAGAATAGCAAAAGCCATCCTAGGCAACAGAGACATGGCAGCTGGTATAACAATTCCCAATATGAAACCATACTACAAAGCCACTGTGATAAAAACAGCATGGTACTGGCAAAGAAACAGGCCTGAGGATCAGTCAAACAGACTGGAAGACACAAAAACAAATCCAGATATACTCAGCTACATCATCTTTGACAAAGGAGCTGACCATCCTCAGTGGAGCAAAGATAGCCTCTTTAATAAATGGTGTTGGAAAAATTGGATCTCAACCTGCCAAAGATTACAACTGGACCCTTATATTTCACCATGCACTAAATTAAAATCCAAGTGGATTAAAGATCTAAATATTAAAACAGAAACAGTAAACTTGTTAGAAGATAAGTTAAGCAGAACTCTTGAAGACATTGGCATAGGAAAAGATTTTATGAACAAATCCTCAGTAACACGGGAACTAGCAGAAAGAATCAACAACTGGAGTTCATCTTATTAAAAAGCTTCTGCACTGCAAAAGAAAACATCAACAGAACTAAGAGACAACCTACAATGTGGGAAAAATTTATACCAGCTGCTCCTCAGACAAAGGACTATTATCTAGAATATATACAGAACTCAAAACATTCAGCACCCCCAAATATAAAGACCCAATTCAAAAACGGCCATCTGAAATGAAGACATTTCTCAAAGAAGTAAAAACAGCAAGTAAATATATGAAAAAATGTTCCACATCACTGGTCATTCGAGAGATGCAGATGAAAACAGCACTGAGATTTCACCTCACCCTACAAAGAATGGCTGCTATCAAGAAATCACACAATAACAAATGTTGGCGCGGTTGTTGGGAGAAAGGAACCCTTCTCCATTGTTGGTGGGAGTGCAGACTGGTGCAACCACTATGGAAATCAATATGGAGATACCTCAAAGAGCTGAGACTAGAGGTTCCCTTTGACCCAGCCATCCCTCTGATGGGTATCTTTCCAAAAGAATTAAAAGAATCATATCGCAGGGATATATGCACACCTATGTTTATAGCGGCACAGTTTGTAATAGCTAAAACTTGGAAACAGCCCATTTGGCCATCAGTTGGAAACTGGATAAAGAAGATGTGGTTTTTCTATAAAATGGAATACTTTCTCAGAATGAGAAAGTAGATTCATTCATAGGTAAATGGGTACATATTGAGGATATACTCCTAAGTGAAATAAGTAATTCACACAGGTGTAAATACCGAATAGTTTCTCTGGTGTGAATAAATTATAATAGTACATAAGATCCTAATGATATAATGGACAATGTGAAATAGGAAGAAAAGGGCTAAAGGTGTAGGGAAAGTGGGAAGGGTAGGGGAAAGGTAATAAGGGAAAAGAAAAAAATGGAAATGAAGTGTTTTTAAAGGGAGAGGGGAGAAGGGGGTGAAGGGAGGGCAAGGACAAGGGGAAAAAACGAGAACCAAGACCTGTCATGTAAAGGTACAAGATCCCAATGATGAATGGAACTGTACTGTATACCTAAAATGTACCAATAAACTCAATGAGAAAAAGTATTTATGCCTGTCTTATATCCTGCAAATGATTGCTCAATTGATATAATTTCTTCTGTACATGTCTGGTAATATTTTCCAGTAAATTATTATGATCTTGAAGGTTTTATTAGTTTTCAAATTCCAGTTTTCATTTCTTAAGACAGAGGGAAACTTTCATTTATCAATTCTCATCATGTGAGTTCCAGTAGCTTGTACTTTCCAAGGAATTTATGACACTGATTTTTTTCTAGTTCTATCAGTGAAGGAGCTTTCAAAAACTCCAATTATAATTTTAGATTTATTTCTCCATTTTATTCTGAGTTTGAATTTTTTCTATTGTGAAGTTTTGTTGATTGTGTCACTCAAAGCCCATATTTTTATAATTTCTGTTGAAGTGCTATTTTTATCTAATATTTCTTTATATTTTTGATGGCTCCTTTGATGTTAAATTTTAAAAATCATCTCTAATCTCTAAGTATATCAGACACTTAGAATATGTTATGTAAGTAAAGATTGAATATACCAAGAAATGTAATAAAATTTTGTAAATTACATATTGTCAATTTTATCTAGTCGATGTATAAAAATGTACTGAGTTGACCAGTATATAATCATCTCTGTCATAATAACAGAAGATGGGAAAAACTTTTAAAAATATGAATGTACTCATTTATGTGATAACTATTATTTGAATTTCAAACTTTTTAATTTAAGTCAATAGTATCCTTGATATCATTTTTGAAAAAGTTGAAAAGTACTCTGACATTTGCAGATAAAATGACACCCTTGAAAATTAAACGACGACAACGTGCCTCTCCTAAAAAGAAGGGCCTTTTGATTAGCTTCATCGTTTTTCTACCTTTTCTCATTTTAACTGCAATCTTTGTCCTCAAATGGAATACAATGAAGTGTCATTGGAAGAAAGCAGGAACCATAAGTGAAAGGTAAGTAAATTAGTATTATTTTGTTTTTACAAATGAAATGGGAGAATTTCCGTGCAGTTCAGAACATTACAAGGAGGGATTCCTGGTTAGTTTTGGTTTATGTTTAGAAACACTGATTAAGAAGGTCCCAGTGTATACCAGTGTTTTTCAGATCTCCAAAAATTAGGAATCCTTCAAGGCCTACACAGTTCAAGGCCAAGTACAGTTGGACCTACTCACCAAATCCTTTCAGGCAGAAAGCCATGACACATATGGTTGATTTGGGAGGTTCTGTTGACCTCCCAAACAACATCGTCTTCCTCACATGGGCCATCATTTGTGCAAGGTGATCAACAGAAACAGACAGGGGAGAAAACTTTGTGAAAGAATATATAAAGATAGTAGAAATAGGAGACATCCCCAGTGGAAGGAGAAAACACAGGTAGGAGGGTGCTTCCTTCTTGCACATAATGAACACTGCTTGTGTTTCTAAAATGATAATAAAGGCATTTACACATCTTTCTTAACACCAGTACAAACTTTAATTTACTCTGTGAATATTTAGGGAAATGAAAAAAGAGGATTAGTACAGATGTGTTCTTGTTCTGTGAATTTCAGTGATATAAATGAAGATAAAATAATGACATAAAATTTCCATTATTGCTCTTATCAGCAAGTTATCAGCAACTATTGAAGCTTGGGGTAGACAATCTGGACATATTTACATAATCATCAGATTATGGCTTAACTGGATAATGGCTTTCATAATCTTCCCGTGCACCTCTTAAGACATCCTGGAAAAATTTGAATAGTTGCTAGAAGTAACCCTAAGTACTAAAGAGATGTCATAGAAAGGCTAATTATCTGTCAATTAAACATAAGTTAATAAAATGCTTTAAATAACAACATTCGATTATGAAAGCCTGTTTTACAGCAAAAGTATGTGACTTCTGGGCTGTAGGGTAAGAAATGAAATACAGCAAAAGGAAAAAAAGGGGTTAACAGATTAGGTGGTCAAGAGCCAGCCATTCTGTCCGTCATGCAGCAGTTAGTAAGCGATGCTAGCTTTTCTGGCGTGTGTCCATCTGTGAGCAGAGACTGCTCTGCTGGCCTGTGCCCAGCGCATTTTTATGAGGTCATTTAATTTTAATTTTAATTTTTAAATAGTCAGTCATTCCAACCTTATCTCACTGTAGCCATATCACTGTATTTTAAACACCACGACCCTCCTCTTTAGCAGAAACCATGTATGGAAAAAGTGTTCCAAGGAAAATAGGAAGCTGCAGAAATATCACAAAATATTACTAAATGTAGCATAGAGGATCCATTGAGTGATGAAAGTGAATTTGCAGTCCAAATAATTACTTGTTTGCACACTGATTTGACAAAAATACTATAATTTTTAAAAGATAAATTAAGAATTTAAAGATATACACATTTTTTTAACTTTGGGGAAACTTTATTGTAAATACATTAATATCTTCCATGGAGAAAAGATAAAAGAAAATAATGAATTAATTTTTACTTTTAAATTTTAAAATGCTTAATTAGATTTTTAGAATTACACCAACATTAGAAAAAAGCAAATAGTATGATATATTAAGGCTCTCTGGGAAATCGGAAGCAAAATGGACACTGGTATACACTAATAGAAATGTAGTTCCTTTTTTGATATATTTTGCTTTATATGGTAGTGTTTCTCCTAAATCAAGTGTTATCTCTTTTTTACAGCTCTATATCAGAAGACAGCAGTGATAACAGCAACAAGTCATAGAATTAAAGGTCAACCAAAGAAATCATATTATCAACATGAATTACATAATTCACAATGTTTATTTTTTAACAAAGCCCCAATAATAGCTATTATTCTCATATTTCACCATCCTGATTCCAGTCTGTGAAAATCGTATGTTAAAATAAGGACTAAGACAAAATATGTGATGTTAATTTTGCTTTATATTACTTTGAAAATATGTAATATTAACAAATTCTAACCAAGCCTCCATTATGTAATTTTGTAATAAGAAGTGACTTTCAAAGGGATCTTGAATGTTTTCCTAAAGAATTTATGAACAATCATGCTTCTTACATCCTCAGTTGAATCTCTACTAGGTAGATTTTATTTTTCAGTACCAGGAATCAAACTCAGGACCTTTCACTTGTCAGGCAGGCACAGCACCACTGAGCTACATCCCTGGCTCTCTATTTGGTAGATTTACAGAGATTGTTTTTCCACATTTATATTTCTTCCTCAGACTTCCAGAGTATTGCTATCCTTGTTTTAGAAATGAACAAACAGAAATACAGCAGTTAAATGAGTCATGTATATACAATTTTAGTAAGTTTGAAAGCTTGATTTTTTTTCGTTTTTTACTTTTACTAGTACAGGTTTTCAGTACATAACGTTACAGTCCCTGTAGCAGACTGGCACATGGATATAACACATTTCAATTCCCTTGTTTTTCTTCCACCCCACTTTTACTTCTCCAGCAACAGATTCATTTCCTCATAAGAGCTTATGAAATTGTTATTTATACGGATTGAAAATCAGACTAATAGTCCACAGAACATATAAAATACGTAAGACTTTTGAACTGCCAAGGTACACTTTTAAATACATGGTCCTCTGAAACACAAAGCCTTTCTTTTTCCTTTTGCCTAGTATCTGTCATTTATTTCATGTTTTCTATGTATAACTTGTTTCTCATGTACGAGAATACCATGAGATATTTTAGCTTGTGGGTTGGAGTTACTTCACTAGCATTACGGTCTCAAGATGCATCCATTTTCCTACAAGTGACTAAAGTTTATCTTTTTACGGCAGAGTAGTACTCCACGGTGGATAAATACCACAAGTTTTATCCATTCATCTGTTGACACAAACATAGGCTGTTTCCAAGATTTAGCTCTTATGAATTGTGCTACTATGAAAATGGGAAGGCACACATCAACATAGTGTGATTTTTTAAATCTTTTAGGAGGATGCTTAGAAGGGGAATGGCTAGGCCAAATGGAATTTCTACGCTTCAACTTTTCAGGAATCTCCAACCAGATTTCCCTAGTGACTGGATCAGGTTACCACCCAACTGACTGACAATGGACAAGGTCTCCTTCCTCCCCACAGCCTCTCCAGCATTTGTCCTTAGTGGATTTCTTGATGACAGCCATTCTTTCTGGAGGGAGATGGAATCTCAGTGTTGTTTTAATTTACATTTCTCAAATGGCCAACAATATTGAACATTTTTTAATGCATTTATTGCTCCTTTGTTCTTCATTTGAGAAATAACGATTCATTTCAGATGCCTATTTTTAATTAAATTTTTAAATTTGGGGACTACATTTTTTAGTTCTTTTTATATTCTAAATATTAGTCCTTTGAGGAGTAGCTGGCACAATTTTTTCCCATTCTTTTGATTAAATCTTTTCTCTGTTAGTTTTTTCCTTTGCTTTGTAGAAGCTTTTGAATTTGATGTGATCCCATTTGCTGATTCTTAGTATTGTTTTTTGTGCAGTCACGGTTTTTCTCAGGAAGTCTTGGCCTATACCAGTATCGTCAAGAGTTTTGCCTATTGTAACCTTCCAGAAGATTGTTTCTGTTTTAATGTTTAGATCTTTGGCCCATTTTGATTTTAGTTTGGTGAATAATGAGAGATATCGGTCCAGGTTCAACTTTGAGCAGATGTTTAGCCAGTTTTCCCGCCACCATTTATTAAAGGGAAAGCATTTGGCCCCTTTTGAGTGGCTGGAGTTTTTTGCATCTTCTATTCTGCTCCAGTGATTCATGAGTCTGCTTTGGATTTTCTGTTTTGTTTTCTTTTGTTTTTGTACCAGAGACTGGACTCAGGACCTTGCACTTGCGAGGCAGGTACGGTGCACTGAGCCACATCCCTGGCTGGGTTTGGCTTTTTGCTGTTGCTACTATGGTTGTTTTGCTAATACCGTCCATTTTGATCACTACAGCTTTGAAGTATAACTTGGAGTCCCAACATTGTGAAGCCCCCTGCCTTGCCCTTGCTGTCCAGAATTGCTTTTGCTATTGTGGGTCTCTTCTGGTTCCATGTGAATTCTAGGATTGCTTTCTTCGGTTCTGGAAGGAATGTTATTGGCGTTCTGATTGAGATTGTGTTAATACATATATATATATATATATTACAGTTTGGAAGTACGGCCATTCTTACTATTTTGGTTCTGCCCACCCAGGAACAGTGCATATCCTTCCATTTTCTGATATCCTCCTCAGTCTCCTTTGTCAGAGTACTATAGCTTCCACTAGAGACGAATTTCACTTTCTTGATTAATTTTTAAGTATTTTATGTGTCTTGATGCTATGGTGAAGAGTATTATTATTCCCTCATTTCCATTTTAGTGAGTTTGTTATTTGTTTACAGGAATGCTGCTGATTTTTGAGTGTTGACTTTGTATCGTTCTATACTGCCACATTTGGATACTAAGTCTAAGAGTTTCCAAGGTCTTCTATGTAGAGGATCGTGTCATGTGCACACTGATAATTTAACTTCTCCCTTCCCTTTCCATAACCTTCCATTTCTTTTTGTCTTATTGCTCCAGCTAGTATTTTTAGACTATATGAGAGAGGAATGGTGATAGCAAACATCTGTCTTGTTCCTCATCTTACAAGGAAAGCTTTCGGCCTCTCTGCATTAGTATGATTTTGGTAGTTGTTTGTCATACGTGGTTTTCATCGGGTTGTAATAAACACCTTCTATTCCTGTTCTCTTCAGTTTTTTTTTCTTTTTTTTATCACGAATGAACACTGGATTTCGTCAAATGCTTTTTCTGTGTCTATGAAGACGATCGTGTGATTTTTGCCCTTGGTTCCGTTTATGTGGTGTGTTGCATTTATTGACTTGCATATGTTGTACCATCCCTGCATTCTTGGAGTGACTCCTATTTGGCCAAGATGTGGGATCTTTTTGATGATTAGCTGCACTGTTTGCCAGTATCTTATTGAAGATTCTTTGTGTTCTTTTAAGAGATTGGCCTGTACTTCTCTTTTTTGGTTGGGCCTTTTTCTGCTTTTGGAGTCAGGTAACGGAAAGCGCATTCAGTCAGGACTGGAGAGTGACGCAGCTGCTAAGAGGGGACCGAACACCCCGGAAGTTTTGTGGTGAGCAGGAGTGGATGAGAGGAAAACCACAGGAATGATTTAGAGATGTGACAAGGGAAGCACTGATCAGAGTGGGGACTGGGTGATGTGGTGTATTCGGGTGCAATCTTCTTGGCCATCGTGGAGTTACGGCGTAAGAAGAGCCTGTTGGGTGCTGAGCCGATGCTGTGACGGGAGGCAGGGGACGGCTGCTGTTGGGCAGTGCCGGGTGGGACACCGGCTAGAGCTGCAAAGGGTCTGCTCTTGCTCTGCAGATAAAGAGAGTGCACCGTTCACTAGATTTGATGTCTGTGTAGATTTTCCTTATTCTTTTTCTCCATTTGCTTGTAGGTCCTTCCTTCGTGCATTCATATGTAAAGTTTAGAAACTATGTAAATAAAACCTCTGTTTGCATAGTATAACTAATGTGCTAATTGTTATACATATAGCTGTATTATAACATTAGGCAGCTGTTACTAACAGTGAAAATTTAGTGTTTCTCTTTTTTATCTTTGTTTTACAGCAGTAACTTCAGCAACATAAAAAAGCCATAACCGAGTCAACGAATATTGTTAGGAAACACATCATTCATTGGCCTGATCCATACACCAAAGAAGCTGCCTTTTCTCCTCTTGTTATGGCACAAACCAAATAAATCCTATGACTGAAAGCCTTCCAGTTTGTGTCTGTGGCTTCTTCTACCAACTATAATCCTGCATTAAGAACTAAACAGCTTTGCTTTTGTTTCCCTGAGAGGTTGCTATGTCCCCAGGTGACAGTGGCTCCTTATCCACTGCAGCCCCTGACCCTATAACCCCGCTAAACACTCCCAGCTGAAGGGAGGACACCGCAGCCAGGCCTCTCCCAGGGTGGGGATTCCCCTGCTCTGTGCTTTCTGGCCTTCATGCTATTGAGAGAGAGCATAGTAAGGGCAGCCCTAGGCCACAGTCACCAGCCTCCGTTCTAGCTTAAAGCAGCCGCTCAGACTGAGTTCCCAATTCAAGTATCCGTTCTGTCTCTAAGGGACTCTTCCTTAGCCCTGTAAACTGAAATCGAATATATGCATTTTCCTGTAAGTGACCCCAGACTTGGTGCTCTGTCTCCCTCGCAGCTGAGCTCTCCAGGATAGTGTTTCCCCTTGCAGTCCTGCTCCCTCCTCATTCCCTGTGGAGACAGAAGCACCTCTGCATCCCACAAAGCACTACGCACGGACTATGGAGTCCTCCATCCACCTTGAGCCTGGCTAGAACTCCAGTATCTCCCTCAAAAAGCAAAGATGCCTGTGGGACAGGGGTGGAAAAACTACTCTGCATAACACCAGACCTTCCTTTTCCAAGTGTCTATCAACTGACTAACAGATAAACAAAGTGGTACACCCTACAGTGGAATATTCTTCAGCCACGAAACAGACGGCTGGGCCGGGATTGAACTCAGTGTTGCTGTGCCTGCCTCGCAAGCGCAAGGTCCAGAGTTCAATCCCCAGTACAAAGAAAGAAAAGAAAAAAACCCCCCAAACAAGAAAGTGGATGGAGCTCTAAAATTGGGAAACAAGAAGGAACTCTAAAGCTGTTATGCTAAGTGAATAAGCCAGTCACAAAGACCATGCTGCAATTAGTCAGTTCTGTGAAATGTCTAGGACATCTCTAGAGACAATAATTAGTTTCTAGCTTTTTCTACTAACGGTGAAGGTCGAGGGTGAAGAAATGTGGGGTGGTGATTGCAGGCTTCAGGGCGCCGCTCTGAGGCAATGAAACAGTCAACAACTGTTAGGTAATGGTTGTGCACATCACTGGGTGAACCACAGGTCCTTTAGTGGTATGGCTATGTCAAAATACAGCAGTTCAGAAAATACAAGCCCCTGCCTCACAACATATACAGCAATCAATTCAATGGCTGAAAGACTCAAACGTAAGATTTGAAACTGGATGAACTTTTTTTTTTTTTTTTTTTTTTTTGGTACCAGGGATTGAACTCAGGTCCTTGTGCTTGCAAGCAGGCACTGAAACCATTGAGCTAAATCCCTGGCCCTTAGATGAACATTTTTAAAAAGCATACAGGGATAAGAACCAAGATATATCATGTAAAGCTACAACATCCCAGTGATGAATGTAACTGTACTTTATACCTAAAAATAAACAATAAACTTAATTTTAAAAGTACAGGGAAGAACGTATTTGAACATAAGAAAATCTTCAGGCAATAAACAAATATAAAGATGAATACATCGAAGTAAAATATTCTATAAGCAAAGAAAATAGTCAAAATAGTGAATAGGAAACTCAATAAAATAACAAAAAATTTATTTGAAAATAAAGCACTACCTCACCTTTCTTAGAAGGACATTAAAACGATTATATAGGGTATGGGATGTAGCTCAGTGGCACAGCACCTGCCTGGCAAGTACAAGGTCCTGAGTTCAATCCCAGTACAAAAAAAGAAAGAAAGAAAGAAATTAGATATTGGTGATGCGGACAAAACAGGACCCTGATACCGTGGGTCATATATTATTGGTAAGGAGTGAAAGGGACTTTGCTACATTGTAAATGAAGACGGCCATTATGGAGAACGGTACGGATGCTGCCAAAAAGCTAAAAGCAGAATCACCATATGATTCTGTAATCTAATTTCTGGATCTATATACAAAGATGTGAAATTTGTATGGTGAACACATAGCTTCTTATACATAACATCAATGTATCCAATAATTATATACAATTTTACTTTACCTAAAATGAAAACAGACCTCCTCACTTTTGACCATCAAAATTTCTGCTTCATGAATACTATGTAACTACAATCAGAGATCATATACTCTATAGTGTCTATTCTTTGCCAAAAGCCAATTCAAGACAAATCACATTGCTGCCTGTAATGATGATTAATACCTCTTATAATATGTGATATATATCACAATTTAGGACTAAGAAGAATAAAATTGCTGTTAGCATTGTATGGCTTTCATAGATATAATATTTATCTACACAGAAATAGGATATTATGCCATAGGGTGGTATATTACCTGAGAAACTATTGATTGGCTGTTTTCAAACTTACTATAATAACTTGCTCTCCCATCCATGAAGTATGAAAGATTCAAGGATCCCATCTCTTCTAAAACTATGAGCATTGATACATTTTTAAAATTTTTTAGTCATTCTTATTGTATATTAATATCATAACTCGGCTTACAATTCATCACCTAGTAAGTAATGAGTTGAAGCACATTTTCACACTTGTTTTTTCCACTTGAATACTCTCTTGAAGAGCCAATATATAATTTTTTCCATTTGCATTTTCACTCTTTTTTTTTCACATGGCTTTAGGAATTCTTGATGTATTCTGACTATGAATATTTTGTCAAATAATTGTACTGATGATGTCTTTGCCCAAGCTGGTTTGTTTCTATATTTAGTGAATGGGATCCTTTCAAGAGTGTACATTTATAATGAAGGAATGTCAGCTTTATGATTTTTATTTTACCCATTTCATATTAAAGAATTATTTCCTTAAACCAATAATCTAGTTTGGCTTACGTCCACTTTATTTTAGAATTTCTTTTTTATTTATTTAGATTAAACCTATTTAGGGAATTTTAAGCTATATTTTTCTTGTTCATATCTAGTTTTGATCTGAAGAGCATAATTCTGGGTAGTCTCAATACTTTGATCTGAACTTGTTATATTTTATATTCTAATATATGGTCAATATTGTAAAGACTCATATATATTTTGAAAACACATTTTTTTATGCTCTTTTTAGATTTCTTCTGCCTTTTGCATGCTCTGTACATATTAAAGACGCCAAACAAATATTGAAACCATGTTGATTAGGACTTCTACATTTAATGAGTTTTGTCCCCTGGCTATCTTAGTAACCAAGAGAGTTATGTTAATTTGCTGAAGTACTACTTGGGGTGTCTTAAATTCTCCTTTAATTGTGTTGATTTTGCTGGGGTTATTCAGCACATATCTGGGCTGTGACTGCCTCCTCTGTCTACCAGTAAGAGCAGAGTCAGGCCCTGAAATGGACACTACCCCAAAACGGTAGACCCCAGAAGGTAATACCAGGATTGAAATCAAAGAGAATTTTCTTTTTTCTTTTCCTTTGTTTTGGTGGTGGTGGTGTTGTTTTGTTTGGGGGTTATTTTTGTTTTGTTTTTT